AAAAAAAAAAAAAACAAAAAACAGTCAGGACCCTGAAAGAAAAGATTAGAAGATGGGGACGAGAGGTCTGGGTAAGAAGGAAATGGAGTAAGTGGATAGATTAAAAGCAGTAGGCACAGGTTGAGTGTGGTGGCTCATGCCTGTTATCCCAGCATTTGGAGAGGCCAAGGCAGGAAAATCACTTGAGGCCAGGAGTTCAAGACCAGCTTCGGCAGCACAGCAAAACCCCATCTCTAAAAAAAGTTAAAATAAAATAAAAAAAAGATTAAATTAATTCCCAGGAGGTAGAGCCAAGATCATACCATTGCACTCCAGCCTGGATGACAGAGCAACACTCCATTAAAAAAAAAAAAAAAAAATTAAATCAAAAAAAAAAATTTTTTTTGATGAAATAGGCATAAAATGTGTAGACCTTTGTGTCTCATAATAATGTCAACCAGAGGCACTCAGAATCCAGGTGAACAGGTTAACTTCTCCTATGGATGTCAGCCAGACTCTCTCCTTGGCCATCTCAGTGCTTAAAACAATGGTCTGTTAATGGAGAGGCTGTGACAGCATGGGCCCAACATTATGGGTTCCTTCTAACCAAAGGCTGATATGGCTGTTGCCACTGCTGAATGGCCAAACTGCCAACAGAAGATACTGATGCTGAATTCTCGGTATTACTCTACCTCTGGAGGGGACCAGCCAGCCAGTGGTGGAAGATTGATTCTATCAGATCTCTTCCTTCTTGGAGTAGGCGGCAATTCATTTTTTTTTTTGTTTCTTTTTGTGAGATGGAGTCTCACTCTGTCGCCCAGGCTGGAGTGCAGTGGCCACAATCTCAGCTCACTACAAGCTCCGCCTTCCGGGTTCACGCCATTCTCCTGCCTCAGGCTCCCAAGTAGCTGGGACTACAGGCGCCGCCACCTCGCCTGGCTAGTTTTTTGTGTATTTAGTAGAGACGGGGTTTCACCGTGTTAGCCAGGATGGCAGCAATTCATTCTAACTAGTACTAACAACTGTTCTGGAAACAGAGTCATTTCTACCCACAGTGCCTCTGCCAGCACAACTACCTCAGTGCTTATAGGATTCTTAGCTACCAGCCTGAGCAAAGTAGTGAGACCCCATCTCTACAAAAATGTTAAAAATTAGCGAAGTTAGGCCAGGTGCAGTGGCTCACGCCTGTGATCCCAGCACTTTGGGAGGCCAAGGTGGATCACTTGAGGTCAGGAGATCGAGACCAGCCTGGTCAACATGGTGAAACCCCAGCTGTACTAAAAATACAAAATCAATCAGCCGGGCATGGTGGCAGGCACTTGTAGTCCCAAGTACTCAGGAGGCTGAGGCAGGAGAATCTCTTGAATCCAGGAGGCAGAGGTTGCAGTGAGCCGAGATCGCGCCACTGTACTCCAGCCTGGGTGACAGAGCAAGAGTCCTCTGTGGACACAGAGAGGCAGGTGTGGGGCAGCGGGGCTGTTCCGGAACCTTCCTTCTCTCCCCAGCACCTCATGGCTTCAAAACCCAGCTGCCAGTGGAACCCTAGCCCTCAGCTCTCCCACTCCCGCAGGCCCCCAGCTGCCTGCTTCTGGACGTATCTGAGGGGCCCCACTCCCAAGGGGGCGCAGACATGTGTCCTCTGGCAAAGGGGACTTCCTTCAGCATCTGGGGGAGGGGGCAGGAGGGAGGGACGCCAGGAACAGGGAGGTCGAGAGCCTCAGGACACCCCAGATACAGCCAGGCCCGTGCCCGAGCAGAGTCCGAGGCCTGGGCAGCGCCATGGGAGTGGGGCACAGGCGGGCTCCATGGTAACTCCAGCCTTGCTCAGCAGCCCCATTAAAAAGCAGAAAGAGGCCGCGTGAATCCTGACTCTGACTGCTCTATTCAACCAGATACATCCAAAATACAATCACTTCCAGGTCCTCAGTACAGAACCACCGTGAGGAAAAACCCCACCCAGGTTTCCGGCGCCCAGACTCCGAAATTCTGAGGTCCGGGAATTTTCTTCTGGCGTCAGTGCAGTGCAGGCCCCCCAGCCCCACTCCCTCCACCCGGAGTGCCTCTGCCTTGTCCCCCAGACCCACTGCCAGGACCCAGAGGCCCCCAGGAGGGAGGCGAGGGGCGGGGGTGAGGAAGAGGATGTGGCTGGTGCCCCAGGTGGCCGCAGCTGCTGTCCTTCACGCCTCTATCACTCCACATGGTGCACTAACCCCAGGGCCCTGCAAGTCCCAGGCTGTTGGATGTGGTCCGGGCGGGGTGGGAGGGAAGACACTGGCAAAGGCGGGCTGAGAGGATTTCTTTATTCCGCGCATTCAGACCCGACACACTCAGGTGCCTTGGGGCCCCGTGAGGGCTAAGCAGGGGGTGTGGTGTCAGCTCCTGGGGAGGCCCCACTCCCTGGGGAGGAAATACACAGCAGGGAGCCGCCCCCAGCCCCCCATGGAGGGACCCACGTTGCTCTAACAAGGACACTGAAGTTGTCTCTAACGCCCTGTGAGAGGGGGCCCAGCCAGGTTGGCTGGAGGAGCCTCTGAGGGGCCCTCAGGTGGGCAGGTGGGGGGGCTTCTCGGCTCCGGCGCCCACCGGCCCTTCTAGCCCCGTGCTGGGCCAGGTGTCCTCTGAGGCCCCTGCTGCAGTTGCACTTGGTGACCGGCAGGGGCGGGGCAGGGAGGCCACCCCCAAGGCCGGGGCCCCACGTGCTAGGGGAAGCCTGCCTTCCCAGCCCGTGTCCACAGGGCAGCAACTCCACTGCTCTGAGGCTCAGGGACCAAAGCAGGGCTGGGCGTGGGGCTCAGGGCCTTGGTGGTTTTTCTCAGCTCTCGACACCACAGCACGGGGCCCGTCACCCCAGTCCTCTGGGCCCGTGTACCCAAGCCGGATGCAGGCTGGGGAGGGCACCGGGCTCCTCTGTGGCACCAGCGCGAGATTGTTCTCCGGGGCGGTCCCAGCTTCCAAACCCTGGCGCTACGAGTCCACGGCTCAGGCCCAGGGACCACAGGGGTCTGCCCACAGTTGAAAATGAGGCCAAGCCTGTGGCTGAGGGGCCAGGCCAGCTCCCAAGTCTCGAAGACTCCACAGGTGTGGAGACACAGGGGCCCTTCCAGGGCAGGCAGCCCTTGGGGCAGCAGCAGGGTCGAGGGCTCTGTCTCACGCACACGGGCACAGGCACGCAGGTGGCGGCCCTGCCGCTGGCTCCCAAGAGGCTGACAGCCCCAGCCCAGTAGGGCGGTCACACACACACAGCTGATCCCTGGAGAAAAAGAAACCTAGACGAGGAGGGCGGAGATGGGCGTGCGCAAGGAGGTGCCAAGGGAGGAGACCACTGCCCACACAGGGTCAGTCCCGTGAGACGGTCAGTTCTGTGCCCACCGCCTGCCCGCCCAGCTGCAGGATGCTCGCCATTGCCACTGCTGGGGAGCATGGTTTGGCCCGAGAGACCAGTGACTCCGGGAGGAAGTGCGGAGGGGCCAGGGTGCCAGCACTGGTGCCCACCAAGGGCAGGGCTGGGTCTCACGTCTGGGCCAGCGAGAGCTCCTCCAAGCCTCCCTTCCCCAGGCGGTACCTGGCGAGGTCTTTCCTGGTCACCAACCCGACAACCTGCAGGACAAGGCCAAGCCACAGTGGCCCACGGGTCAGCTCCCGCCTGCCTGCGGAGCGCCCTGCTTTGTGTGTGGCTGGGGCAGCACAGGCTGGGGGTCTTGGGGCTCCAGCACAGCCCCCGAGCTGAGCGCAGGGCTGGGGAGGGATGTGGCCATGGGGCATGGGCCGACTCGGTGCTGGGTCCTGTGCCTCAGTGTCCCCTGCCGGGAACTGAGAGTAAGCGTGGGCAGGAGAAAGAGGTGAGCCCTGCATGGCACGCCCGCACCCCCACAGCCCCCGCTCACCTGATTGCGGTTGTCCACCACCACCAGGTGCCGCAGGCCCAGGGCCCGGAACAGCTTGAACACCCGGGGAAGCGACGCCTCCTGCAGCAGGCGCACAGCCGTCAGTGCCGCCCACACGGCAGGGGCAGGCGGGACTTCACCCGAGCTGGCTCCCTGGGCCCCCCACCACGGCATCCAGGCACGTCCTGAGCCCCCACGCCTATCTGGCCAGCCTGCTCAGCCCCTTGACTTCGGCTCTGCGGCCTGAAGCCTAAAAGCCTGCCAGGCCCCTCCACAGGAGACAAAGTCACCAACTCCTGGCTGCCCCACCCCGCCTCCCTGACCGCCCCTCCACGAGGCTCTGGACCCCAACCCGCGCTGTTAGGCCCCAGCCCCCTGCACCCATGCCCTGCACCCATGCCCTGCACATGCCTGGGGCACCGTGTAGGGGGAGGGGTTCATGAACTCGGAGAGGTCCATGGTGCACTCCCGCTCGTCCTGGGACACGTGGATGGACTGAATGGGCGGGAAGCGCGGGTAGGCGTCGCGGAAGTCCTTCAGCCTCAGGCGCCGCTGCACCAGGCCCATGTTGGACCGTTCCACAAACACCTGCGGGCGGCAGGGCCCTGCATCAGGCGCCCAGCCAGCACCCCCTGGGGCCCCCACCCACCCGGCAGCCCGGAGCCTGGCACGCACCTTGTGCTTTAGGAGGACGATGAGCTGGGAGCGCAAGATCAGGCCCTGGAGCCGGGCAGGCTGCGAGAGAGGCCTGCGGTCAGGGTGACGGGCCCGAGGGTGGGGGGCTGTGCTGCAATGCTGTGTCGGGCCCCTCTCTGACCCTGTTCCAGCCAGGTGTCCCATCTGGGCATGAGCCCCGTGGCAGCGGCTACCTGCTCACACCAGCCTCGCCATGGCATTCCACGTGCACAATGCCACGGGACCCAAGGATCAGTGCCAGGGCAGTGGGGCCTGACCGAGCACAGCAGAAAGCCAAGGGCCCAGGGACGGCAGCTTTGCTGCAGGGCAGATGCAGCCCCACTGGGTCCCAATAAAAACCAACCCCAAACCTCCAGCGTCCACATCTAAGGGCCACACAGCAGCGGCCAAGCTGCGCATCCTGTCAGGGCCTCCTGACAAAGCCACAGCTCTCAGTCCAGCCTCGGTTCGGACCACAGGACCCTGCCAGGCCGCAGCCCCGCCCAGCCTCAGCGTCCGCACGGCCCCCCACGGCCACACTCTCAGCTCCCAGCACTCCCAGAATCAACAGTGCACCCAAACATGCAGCTTCCCTGTCCTGCGAACCTCGCCGTGTGCTTCCCACCCCTGCACTCGACAGCGGTCACGTGGCGGGACCCAGTCTACGGGGTGCCCGGTACCTGGGTGTCATCGGCATGCTCCACCACGGGGAAGCCGTTGTGATTGGACGCCGTGTCGCTCAGCACGTCCACAATGACGCCGACCTTCTCACGCCGCCTCAGGCAGGTCACTGGCGTGCTCATCACCTCCCTGCCGGAGCAGCCCCGCCACACAGCCCATCATGCGCCACCAACTCCCACGTCATCCCCGCGGGCTGGTGAGGTGTGAAGCCGCTGGACAGGAAAGGCGGGGCTGCCTGGAGCCCGCGAGCCGTGCACCCCGCCCCCGTGCGACAAGAGGCCACTGGACACCCTCCCCACCCACAGCTGTCGTGGGCGCTGTACCTGGCAGTGAGCGAGTGCGAGGTGACCGGGGCCTCCCAGTGCAGGAAGGGCACACTCTGCAACTGAATGTGCATGTCATACAGGCCCTGCGGGCGGGGCGCGACACAGGCCTTGAGGAGCCCACACCCACCCCTGGAGCCCCGAGCCTACCCCTAGGAACCCAGAGGCCGCCCCGGAAACCCGAGCCCACCCCCAGGAACCCAGAGGCCGTCCCGGAAACCCGAGCCCACCCCCAGGAACCCAGAGGCCGCCCCGGAAACCCGAGCCCACCCCCTGGGGACTGGTTGTTTGGAGGCTCACAAGGGCCCCTCCCCCACGGCAGCACCCGCGCGCTCAGGGTGAGGCTTTGAGGCCCCGGCGCACCTCGATGAAGACGTCGCCCACGATCTTGGCGGTCATGAGCACCAGCATGATGGGGAAGCCGTAGGTCACGTTGCTGGTGGCCTCCATCATGATGACTGTCAGGCTCAGGGTCATCCGCACGATCCCGCCTGTGGGGCCATCAGGAACCCAGCACGTCCACCCGCCTGGCTCAAGGTCACGTGGCCACCACCTTCTCTGTGCAGCACCCATACCATCCACCTGCCCCCAGACCCTACCCCGCAAGGACAGCCACGGCCCCCTCCAGACCCTGTGGAGCCCCCCACCCACTGGGCAAGAGCTGGGACCTACCCAGCTGGGCCGCAGCTCCCATCAGGGCGTATTTGCCGGGGTCCGCCCAGATCTGCGGGAGGTGACATGGAGAAGGTGTCAGTGCGGTGGCAGGTCCAAACCCACCAAGATACACAGACGGAGGAGGTCCTGCCTAGACCCCAGCCCAAACCGACCAAGACACACAGACGGAGGAGGCCCTGCCCAGGCCCAGCCCAAACCGACCAAGACACATAGACGGAGGAGGCCCTGCCCAGGCCCAGCAGCCCCATGCCCAAGAAAGAACCCTGTGGCTGTGCACACACACGCAGAGCGACCCAGCACAGCACACCCTGCTGCGGAGGCTGCGCCCTCAGCCTGGACCAGGCGCTCGGCACCAGAGGAACAGAGGAGTGGCAAGCATGGAGGGTGCAGAGGGCACGGTCACCATGCAGCAGCCCAGGCCAACTAGAGAGCGCCACCCAGCATGAGGAGGAAACTCCAGCACACAGGACACGGAGAGCCCCGCGAACACGAGGCTTGGCCAAGGAATCCAGGCATGGAGGCTGCAGACGGCGACTCCCCGTAGAGGCAACGTCAGGGGCGGCAAAGCCAGAGATCGGAGGACCCTGGTGGCTGCCAGGGCTGGGGGCCAGGGAAAGCGGGGCATGCGTGTCAGTGGGCACACGGTTTCCAGTCTGGGATGATGGAACATTCTAGAAGCGGCAGCAATGGCCGCACTGCCTCACGAATGTGAGAAACGCCGCTGAATTGTCCTCTTTAAAACGATTGAGTTTTATGGTATGTGAATCATGTCTCAATTTTAAAAAGCAAAACAAATTAAACCAGACCCTTGTGTGCAGGCAGATGGCAAAGCACACAGGCCTGGGCAGCCGGAGACGGGCAAAGCACGCAGGCCTGGGCAGCCGGAGATGGGCAAAGCACGCAGGCCTGGGCAGCCGGAGGGTGCTTCCTGCCAGGGCCTCTTACAGGTGTTCAGTGTTATTTAAGCAACTGACATGAGAAATAGAAAACATACAAGGGAACCCAGCCCCAGCGGAGACAGGCATAGAAGGAAGGCCCACGGAGGCCACGGTCTGGCGGGCAGCGGATGTGGCTCTGGTGCCCGGCCTCCCAGAGAGCAGCCCTGGGCGGGCGTCCACCCCATGGAGCCTAAAAACAGCTCTGTGGCAGCCCAGAATCACCCATGCTTTTTATCACATCTCAAGGAGGAGGACATAGGCCTCCACCCCCAACCTTTGCCTGGTCCAGACTCCACACAGGCTGTGCTGCCACAGTACACGTGCTGTCACCACAGCAGGGCAACGCTCACGGCCCGTGAACAACGCGAGGCACGATGCTTTTGTCCTGCCCTGGGACCCCTGCTCCGGTCCGCACGGCCGCAAGACCTGGCTCCGCTGCAGGGCCCCACAGCCTCCCCCTCCAGCCCCACTCACCGCCGCCCCCGTGAGGTAGGACAGGGAGATCCCAAAGAGCCGGCCCCAGGCAGCCCCGATGAGCAGGGATGGGATGAAGACCCCAGCAGACACGGTGAGCCCATAGGTCCAGCAGGCCAGGAAGAAGTAGACCAGTGTGAACAGGCCGAGGGTCAAGGGGTTGTAGGAGCCTAGAAGAGAAGAGGGGCTGATGGGACCTCCACATGACTCGCGCCCTCCGCAGGCCCGCCCTGCCCCGCTGCCCAGTCTTGGGCCTCACAGTCACCTTCCAGGAGCCCAGCAACCTGAGCTCCTGAGCCCAGCGGTCCCCAGAAGGCTCCCTGTTCTCAACCTCCCTGGGAAGCAGAGAGGCTGCAAGGATCCGTGAGACCACAGGGCAAGAGGCTCTGCGGGGCCCTGATGCCAGCAGCAGCAGGAGCCGTGTCCAGGTGGGCAGCCCAGGCACCGGCCACACAGTAGAGCCGGGTCGAGACTCCATGGTGGGCACTATGGTGCAGCTTGCAGCCTGGCTCTGGGAAGAGGGTGCCCCCTACAGCCTGGGGTTCCCTTCCTGCAGCAGGTGGCACTGCACTGTGCATGGGTTGGGCGAGGCCGCCAGGGGACACCATCGCAGAGGTGAAAGGCCGGCACTCCAAGGTCACGGGCTACGCTTCCATGAAACCCTTGTGGTCGGGCGAGGCCAGGCCGTGGCCTTGGTGTGGCAGTCACCAGGCTGGGCTTTCTTTTGTTTTTTTTGAGAGGGTCTCATTCTGTCACCCAGGCTGGTATGCAGTAATGTAATCGCAGCTCATTGCAGCCTCAAGCAATCCTCCTGGCCCAGCCTCCCGAGTACCTGGGACTGTGGGCACACGACCGTGGCCGGGTAGTTTTGCTTTTTTGGCAAAGACAGAGTCTTGCTAAGTTGCCCAGGCTGGTCTTAACCTCCTAGGCTCAAGCGATTCTCCTGCCTTGGTCTCCTCAAGTGCTGGGATTACAGGAGCGAGTCCCTGCTATCATCCATGCTAGGAATGACCCCCCAGCCCGGGGCTGCGACCTCCGCCCACAGGGGACACTCAGCCAGAAGGCATCGCCCATGCCCGGATCCCGGGGCCTGCCCGGCGGCACTGCCCACACACACCTGGCGGGTCGTGGAAGAGGCTCACCACGCTCTTCTCCGGGGTGTTGAAGAAGGCCGCGGCCATGGAGTTGTACTCGCCATCTGCACAGAAGAGCTGCGGGGTCAGGAGAGAGCGCGTGTTGGGAGGGAGACGGGTCGCTGGGTCGCAGGCACAGACCTGACGGCGCCGTGGAGAGGCCGTGTACTCTGTGCCCGGCCAATATCGGGGCAAGACCACACGGCCCCGCCATCGGGCGGGCCACGGTCACAGAGGGAAGGAGGACACATCGGGTGGGCCACAGTCACAGGGGGAAGGAGGACACATCGGGTGGGCCACGGTCACGGAGAGGAAGGACACACGGCCCAGACCCAGCAGGGGCTCCAGAGCCATGTCCAGCCCTGGGGGTGGGTCAGCAGGACCCTGGGCTGGGGGGCTGGGGGGCTGTCCGTCCCTGGAGCTGGGGAAGGTGGGCCCAGGTGCTCACAAGCTCCTAGAAGAGGCTGTCGGTGCCCCGGTGACACAGGCCCAGGCCCAGAGCCTCCCAGGCTCCAGCAACACTGGGGTTGTTGTCCACGGGGCTGGAGCAGAGTGTAGCAAGGCTGGTCAACCCCACAGCCCCCAGCCTCCCACGCCTCTAACGGTTCGCACCTGTCCCGTCAGCTCACCCCGCCCTGCCCACTCCCAGCACGGCACCCACTGCTCTGCTGGGCCTCTAAGCTCTCCCCGTTGTGGATGTTTCACATTAACGGGGCTACGTCACGTGACCTCATGTGTGGTTCCTCTGAGCACGGTGCTTTCCAGGGCAACCGTGTCACAGTGCAGACAGACACACAGACTGTGGTGAGCCGTGGGCACCAGGCACAGGCAACTGTCTCACAGTGCAGACGGACACACGGACTGTGGTGAACCGTGAACACCAGGCACAGGCCCGGCTGTGGACGGAGGTTTGCATTTCTCCTGGGTTCACATCTACGGTGTCCCCAGGCTTCTGAGACTCGCCCCATGAGGCTGCCATTCTGGGAAGAGGACTGGGGGGAGCCTTTGGCCCCCACACCACCGCCTGTTCCCCTGGCACCTCGGCAGACACCTGGCCTCCTCAGATCTGGGTGGACAGGACTAACCCTCTCTGAGACATGCCAGCCTGTGCACTTCTGGAACTCGGTGGGGTGGGCAGCTCTCCTCCCGTGGCCTAAGCAAGGCTCCTGGAGGCCGCCCTGTGGCTGCCCTGCCTGCTGCACCCCACCTGGGCCCAGCTTCCCACCTGCAGCGGGTAGGACATGGAGCCCCCCTGCAGGGGCTGGCAGTCCCTCGACGAGTAGATCAGCACAAAGGCGACCGTGGCCGTGACGGCGGCCACCAGCATGGCCTCGACCACCTGCAGGCAGGGCCGGTGGATGTACCTGGAACCAAGAGTCAGGCTGCATGGCAGGCAGGACGGCAGTGCGGCCCCTCGGCAGCTCCCATGGCAACCCAAGTCCCTGATGGAGGACACTGCGGGGGCCTGTGTTTTTTTTTTTTGTTTTTTTTTTTGGAGACGGAGTTTTGCTTTTGTTGCCCAGGCTGGAGTGCAATGGCGTGATCTTGGCTCACCACAACCTCCACCTCCCGGGTTCAAGCGATTCTCCTGCCTCAGCCTCCCGAGCAGCTGGGATTACAGGCACCTGGCACCACACCCGGCTAATTTTGTTTATGTATTTTTAGTAGAGACAGGGTTTCTCCATCTTGGTCAGGCTGGTCTGGAACTCCCGACCTCAGGTGATCCGCCTGCCTCGGCCTCCCAAAGTGCTGCTGAGATTATAGGCGTGAGGCACCGCGCTGGGCCAGGCCGGTGTTTAATCGTCAATCAGACGCCCGAATGTCCTGGGCTTGTCCTCTTCCGTCGGGTAAAGACTTCTCAGCAGCAACGCCTCCCAACACGTGGGAAGTGGCACTCCCCGTGCCCCGGCTGCACCCGATAGTACTGAAATTAGCACAGACCAAGAAGGAAGAGGCCGGGAGCAGGCCAGCTGCGGTTGCTACCAGGCAGAGCCGGGCGAGGGTTGGGCGTGCCTTGCCCAGGCCCGATCCCACGCAGGGCCTCACTTCCTACCCAGGCGCCGTCCTCCCGGAGCCCTCATGCTCCAGCCTCGGGCTCTCCAGGCCCCAGGACACATCTCCTCTGAGCAGCTCCACCGGGAAACAATCAGGCAGGAGGCTGCACACACAGCCTTTCTTTCGGCTGTGGCCTCGGAGTGTCAACCCCACGCCACCACGTCCGCTTTCAAAGGGCCTGTGTGGCCACGCCTGCCAACACGATATGCAACGCGATTTCTCACCTGATTCGAAACATGGTCAGCCAGTAGTTCAAGGCGTTGAACACAGCTCCGAGCACACCGCCTGCAGACAGGGGAAAGGCCAGTCAGCGACACGGGAGGAAAGGGGCAGGCCTCTGCCCTCCAGCTCCCAGATGGCAGCAGAAACTTGAGGGTTTGCCAAGGCAAGAGGACGGCAGGGGGCTAGGGGTCCAGGTAAGCTGCTTCCTCCCCATCGTCACCCTGAGGGCTGGGGGCGCTGTTTCTCAAAGGCTCCGCCTTCCTTCAGGGAAAAGGTGTCGTGCAGAGCAATAAACGCTGGTGGGACCAATTCTACCTCTTAGAGGAAAACCCATCCATCCCTGCAGCCCTGTGGTTTGTGCCAACAGAGAGATAAACCACAGGAAGCCACAGAAGCGAAGCTTTTGGCTCCCCACCCCCAAGCGTGCTGCCTATGGAAGAATCTGGAGAAGCAGGCCCCCAGGTGGCCCTGGGATGAGGGCAGGCTCCAGGGAACCACGGCCTCTAGTCCAGCCGAGCCAGGCCCACAGGCCGTCCCCGCAGAGCTGGGGGCAGCTCTTACCCACCACACCCATGGCGATGAAGACCGGGATCTCGTGGATCGTGTAGGCCATTTTCTGTGCAGAGAGGGAGAAGGCAGAGGATGTGAGGGAAAAGGCCCACAGCTCCTTTCTGCTGAAACTCAGGACCACCATCGTAAGAGAGCCGTAGCCACACAGCGCCTTCCCGCCCTTCCACGCAGGCCGCGGAAGCCCACAGGAGGGAAACACGCTGGGTGTTTTGAGCAGGCCTGGCCCCTGCCTGGTGTGGCGGCCAGGGAAGCTCTGAGAGACCCTGCCACCCTCAGCACCCAGGGCGGGGAGGGCCCCAGGCACTGGGGACACAGCCCATGATCCCCCAGTTTCCTGTGCACAGAGCCGTCCTGTCAATGGCACGAGGAGGCTCTCCAGCCCAGGCCCCAGGCTGCCTGAGCCCACCTGCCCCCACAGCAGCTGCTGCACGTGCCCCCAGGCCCCATTCATGCAGCAACTGTGTGACATCCCAGGTGCCCTGCTAGTCACATGGCGCCCTGACCTGAGGGCAGCTTGGGGTGTCTTCCTGCAGCCCCTCAGGGTCCTGGAGCTCGCGCAAGAGCTTGGCTCCACAGCTGTGAGCCAGTTTTCTAAAGGACCAAATCCTCAACCTGGGCCTTAAGCAAACAGGGTCCTGGCCCAGGATGCGAGGTGGGCGAGGTGGGTGATGGGACAGGTACCTCTGAGTCAAACCTTCCGAAGTTGATGAGGCCCGGGCTGGACAGGTCCCACATGTTCCCATGGTAAATGCTCAGAACAAAATTCAGAGTGAACGTGGAGATCATGGAAGCAAAGAACTGCGATAGAGAGCAGGAAACCAGAGCCCTCAGAGCCGTGCTCCCAGCCCAGGGCCCACGGACCAGCAGGGACCATCGCCCCTCCTGTCAGCCGGGGGGCCAGGAGTCTGCAGATCCCGCCCAAGGCAGAAGGGAAGGGGCTGGAGCTAGGGGCGGGCGCACTGTTCCGGGCAAGGAGGGGCTCAGCCCTCTCTGAACTCGCCACTGGAGAGCAAGAGGGGAAGGTGGGGCAGGGCTGGGTTCCCAGCTGTTTGATCCCCCACCCGGGAGCCACCTGGGGCTAGCAATGGTGCCCAGGACCAAGGGCGAACTGGGCAGCAAAGGCACGACCGCCGCTTTGGGCAGGGCCAGGGCCTGACAGTCCCACAGGGGCTCCAGGTCTAGCCGTAGCTTCACGGGTGGCCCCAGGGCGGAACCCATGGTGGGGACTGAGAGTGCAGCATGCGCCCTGACGGGGAGGCAGCCATCAGCAGGCACTTACGATCCTCCAGGTCAGGAATTGGTTCCAGAAGGATGCACCCTCCTCCAGGCTGAACAGGACCCCACCTGGAAGGCAGGCGGCCGGATCGGGTGCCAGCTGGACACAGGGCACCATGCCCACCACCAACTCCCGCCCCCAGGCTCCAGGAAACCCAGACCATGTCAGAAAGAAGCTACTGGGGTAGGCCCCAGCCACACAGAGAGGAACCCCAAGGGAGGTCTGAGGGCCGGGCCCGAGCACACTGCCAGCCGCTGCTGGCCGCTTCCAAATGCCCCGGCTGTGACTCCGAGCCTCTGCCCACCCTCAGCGGGTACTGGGCCTACAGACAGGAGACCGTTTCTTCCAACACACAGGGTGAGGGCAAAGCTCCAGACCAGACACAGCCTTCCTCACCCACGGGGGCTCCAAACGCCGCTGACACTCCGGCCGCGGCCCCTGCGGAGACGAAGTCCCGCTTCTCTGTGTCTCTGCGGAAGTACTCGAAGATCTGCAACAGAGACAGACCCAGGGCTCAGGCAGCTTCCTCGAGGGCTCAGCTCTCAGAAAGGCAGAGCGGCCACCAGGACAGCAGCTGCGCAGGGGAAGGGGCTTTCAGGACGACCGAGTCGCCAGCTCTGATTCCTGAAGAGCGCCGCGCTGCAGACCACGGCAAGACACAGCAAGGTCGGCACAGCCACCGGCAGTCCAGGGAAACACAGAAAGACCCAGCCAGGAGCTCAACTTTCCAGCACACACGAGGTTCTGAAAACCTCCACCCTCTACCGAAAACCGCACCGACGGAACCCAGCCTTGCTGTTGATGTCTGTACTGTGGGAACGCTGCCTACCTCTAAATTCACACACAGCCGGGCGTGCTGGCTCATGCCTGCAATTCCAGCACTTTGGGAGGCTGAGGCGGGCGGGTCACCTGAGGCCAGGGAGTTCGAGACCAGTCCGGCCAACATGGTGAAACCCCATCTCTCCTAAAACAACCAAAAACTTAGCCAGGTGTGCTGGCGGGCGCCTGTAATCCCAGCTACTCGGGAGACTGAGGCAGGAGAATCCTCAGATTCTCAGAAAGACTCCATCTCAAAAAAAAAAAAAGAAAAAAAGAAAGAAAGAAAAACACATTCACATCCAAATGCAGCTCAATCCCCACCAACGTGCTGGGGACTTCCGGGGGGAAAAGTGTTCTGAAGTGTGTCCTGACAAATAAACATCAGGTGGACACACTTGGTTTCAGGCTCTATGCTCCTCTGAGAACTCAGCCGCTTGCAGCCACAGACCCCTCCCACGGGAAACACAAATGCGTGTGTGGCAGGGGACCCAAGGAGGGAAGCAGTAGGCCGTGCGGAGGCCTCGCCGGGCAGGGACTGTGCCCGCTGGCTCTGGGAGCCACCCGCCAGGCTGTCCTCAGAGGGGGCTGGGGCTCCCGGCCGGGGGTGCTGAGGGAAGACCATCTCCTGCAGTGGCGCCCGTGCCTGTGCCCATGGCATCTGGAGCCCACCCATACAAGGTGGAGAGAGTATGAATCACCTTGAAATCTCGTTTCAGTGACGTTGACCTTCCCTGAGAGATCCCGGCGGCAATCACTGAACCCGAGTGGATCATCGGCCCTTCCTGGAGACCAGAAGGACCCGTGCTCAGAGACACAGCTGGGTGTGGCGGCCCTCGCGGGCCCGGTGGCCTCAGGCTCCAGCTGGCGGGGCCACGGGCACTCTGTTACCTTTCCCACGGCCAGGCCCCCGACCACCGACAGGATCACACCGGACACTTTGATCACCAACGTCTGAAACACAGGGAGACGCACGGCCTCTGATGAAAGGGCAGGCGCCGTCTTTGGACCTGAGCCATAAAACAGCCCCGATCAGGCAGGGTGGCTGGGACATGGGACATCCAGGAAGGGGCTGGCACGCCCAGGGCTGGGTCTCCCCATGGCCACAGTGCACGCTAAACAGCAGCCAAGCGTCCCCCACACTCACTGGGGGTCCCGCCCTCTGTGGCCTCGGCATTCAGCAGGGAAGGGGCTCTTTCCTTTCCTTCCTTCCTGAGGCAAAGCTGGGTCGCCCGACCCGTCCTACAGGCGTGTCCTGCCTCGGCCAGCGTGGCCAGCACAGGGGAGGTGTTCCCGCGAGCCCTGCCTAGCGAGGCCCCGAGGCCCCTCATACGCCCCGGCACAGGAAGAGTGGTCACCTGCGGCTCCACGATGGCCCTCCCAGCCGCTCCCCGCCCCCAGGGGCCTCATCCTCTCCACCCGAGGTGGTGTGTAAGGTGTTTCTCATCAGCCTCCCCGCCCCAGGCCAGAAGCCACGAGGGCGCAGACCCCAAACGTAAGGGCGCTGAGCGTGTGGGGTGTCCGGGAGGGCTCTATGTTAAAGACGCTGAGGAAAGCAAACGCAACCCTCAGCCAACAAAAGGTACGGAGCAACATCCCAGAAGGCTCAGGTCAGCCTGGCGTGGGTGACAGGCCGGTCGCCACTCCCAGCTGCTCCAGTAAACCTGGCCTCCCACCACGGGGCAAGGGCACCCCAAGGTCACCGGGGAGCTTTTGCCAGAGGGGACACACTGGCCCCACTCCTTGGCCATGGGGACCAGGCCCCGGAAGCACCCCCAGGGGGTGGCTGCCATGCTGCCCACCCTCCCCAGATGGAACGGGGCTCCGGCAAGTCTCAGGCTAAGGAACACTGGCGGCACCGACAGAAGCAACCATAGCGGAACTGGGTGGAACCGGGTCAGGGCTGCAGCACCTCCAGAACCAGACGCTCTGATAACACCAAGTGTAAATGAGCATGAGGCAAACCAAGAGCAGGAAACAACGCTACACGCCCACTACGACGACAGCGTCCACAGTCGGTCAGTCGCCGCCATGCAGCCCGTAGTCACAGACGCGCTGCACAGCTGTGGCGGTACATGCACCAGACGAGCATCTCGGCACCGCTTACTCGTTTTTAACATAATTTAATATGCGCACATACCAGCTGTTACCACTTTCAAAAAAAAAAAGGTGACCCCTTTACACCCAGCCAGCCCACCAGCACACAAGGTGGCCGAGGCCAGTTCTGGAAGCCGGGCAGACAAGAGAGCTGCTCCTGAACCAGCAAAGAGCTGGTGCCTCCCCGCCCAGCCAGGGCCTCCCTGCCCAGCCAGGGCCCCCCCGCCCCCCCCAGCCAGGGCCCGCTTCCCCCACCCAGCCAGGGCCCCCCCCGCCCAGGGCCACCACACCCTCACCTTGAGCCGCACCACGTGGGGGATCTTCACCCCGTTGAGGAAACACTTGATCTGGGGGATTCCACTGCCAGCAGCCACCGGCTGAAAAACGGGAAGCACGGCTGAACGGGTCACGGCCAGGCTGAGATAGACCCAGCCCCACAGGCCCAGGAGCCCCAGGAGCCGGGGAGCTCAGCACACACATCAGGGCCTCAGGGAAGGGGCCTCATGTCGCGCGGGTAGCTGCTCTCACTCTTCCCAGCCCAGGCACAGATCAAGGACGTGGTGGGGGCGGAGGTGGAGATGGAAGGAGGGCGGAGTGAGGAGGCTCCAGGAGGGGCGGAGCGGGGTGACGGTGCCCAGGCCTGTGCTGCTGGGTTAGGAGCAGCACCCGGGGCTCTGGGGGTGAAGAGGCCCTGGTGTGTCTGCTCCTCCTGAGGCTGTGAGTCTGGACCGCGTGATTCCAGAAAGTGCCCAGGTTCTCAGCCAACGTGATGGTGGGGGTGGGTGAGCTGCAGAGGTTCCCGCCCATTCGCCAAGCCCCCCAATCCTTCGTGGGGTCCGACATGGCTGGGGCACCTACCTCTATGAAAGCCACGATCACGGAGCCCACCAGCACGAAGGCGGCGTTCAGCGTCGCCCACAGCAACAGGGAGAAGGACAGCCCGCCCTTCTCTGTGAACTTGTCGATATCTGGGGTTCATCAAGGAGGGCTGGCTGCTTCCCCGTCAGGACCACCCACCCTGGACCCCGGCCCTGCCCCATGGCCCGGCCTGGCAGACGCCACTCTGCTTGGTGGAGCCATGACGCTCCCTGGACATGCCAGAGACATCTCACAGCCCAACCATGACAGGGATGCAGCCAGCCTGGCCAGGCCACCTCCACCTGCACTGGAACACGCCGGGCTCAGAACTTCCACCCGGGACTGAGCCCAGGCCACGCCCCGCCCCCAACCTGCACCCGCCATGCTGGGAAGGATACTGCCCTTGATGACCCTGTACTTGAGGCCGGCCAGGTTCTCCACCACGATGTCGATGAAGCAGGCCACGAGGCCCGTGAGGATGCCGATGAGGGCGCAGATGACCCAGCGCTTGATCTCCACCGTCCGGAAGGCCTGCAGGGGTGCGGTCAACGCAAGGGTCAAGCAGGGCCGCGGCGCAGGTCGCTCTGGCAGCAGCAGGACTGCCCAGACCACCTGCAGGCCCTGGGATTATGAAGGTCCCAGCGTGCACGGTGCGCTGAGTCCCACAAAGGGCAGTTTCTGGCCAATACCCGAAGCACACCCGGGGCCTGAGGGTGACTCGGGGAAGTGGGCGACTTCCCAACAGCTTCACAGCCAGTGGTTGCTATGCTGGGCACTGCAGCTGGCGGCGGTAAGAGCAGCCTTCCCGGTTACGGTGGCCGTGACCCTCCCGTTGTCTCCAGAAACCAAAGGAACCCACCGGCCTTGGAGGCGGGGTCAGAGGAGGAGGCATGTCGCAGACCCAGGCCCAGTCAGCACCAGCGCCTGCACCTTGGGACCCCGCAGGGAGCGGCGTCCAGCTCACCGTGTGGTTGATCCGCCGCTCCTCCTCCAGGAACAGCTGGTTCTCACTGTTGTCATAGTCCAAGCTCTGCAGGCCGGGACAGCAGGGGCAGCACTCAGCACCGACCCGACGCCCCGGGTGCGGGCACAGGAGACCGGGAATGGGTTTGGAGGGGACAGAGGCCAGGTCTCAGGGTCAGGGAGAACAGGAGGACGCCCACCTCATACTTGAGGGACAGGAGCTTCTCGTTGTGTGGGATCTCCTTGGGGAAGGGATGCGGAGGATCCATATCCTGTGGCAGAAAAAGGCAAAGAGAGAAGCACGGTTGACAAGGCCACAAGGAGAGAGGCCCCTCTCAGCTCACACACAAGGCCGTCAGCACCCCAACGCCAAGGACAAGGACACAGCGAGAGAACTGCAGGTGGGGCGCGGGGGCTGATGCCTGTAATCCCAGCGCTTTGAGAGGCCAAAGCAGGCAGATCACCTGCGATCAGGAGTTCGACACCAGCCTGGACAACAACCTGTCTCTACTAAAATTACAAAAACTAGCTGTGTGTGGTGGCGGGTGCCTGTAATCCCAGCTACTTGGGAGGCTGAGGCAGGAATCCCTTGAACCCAGGACGGGGAGCTCGCAGTGAGCCGAGATTGCACCACTGCACTCCAGCCTGGGTGACAGTGAGACCCTGTCTCAAAAATAAGAGAGAGAGAGAGAGGGAGGGAGGGTATGACGTTGGACCCTTACCTCACACCACATCCAAAAATTAACTCAAAAGGGATGAAACACCTAAAACTGTAAAATTCTTAGGAAAACACGGGTCAGTCGTCATACCCTTGGGTTAGGCAACGGTTTCTTAGATACGACACCAAAAGTACAAGCAACACAAGAAAAAACAGATTAACTGAACTTCAGCAATCCAACCCATGCTGGGTATGAAGCGCATGCGGTCCCAGCTCCTCAGGAGGCT